AAAATGAATGGCTCCTGATTTATTTATGTATTTGAAAGTCAGAGTTACAGAGAGAGAGGGAGGAAGCCAGGGTTGGGGGGGGGCAGAGAATATGAATGAGAATCTCCCATCTGCTTGTTCACTCTCCAGATGGCTGCAATGGCCAGGACTGGAGCAGGCCAAAGTGAGGAACTGGGAGCTTCATCCAGATCACCTACATGCGTGGCAGGGATCCAATCACTTGGGCCATATTCTGCTTTTTTTCCCATGCCATTAGCATTTTATCAGAAGTGGATCAGAAATGGAGTAGCCAGTGGAAAGAAGGGGCCATCAAAGAAGGATGTACTTTTCTCTGAAGGGAGGCGAGAACATCTACTTTGCTTATGGCCGTGTTCAAATACTGATGGAGTCTATGGTTACAGAAGGCTTCCATAGCCTTGGCAGCCCATGGCAAGAGCCTCAGGTGATCACTGACGTCATAAATAAGAGTGTTAATTGTTAAAGGAACAACAGAAGTCACTGTGCACTTACTCCCCATGTAGGACCTCCGTCCTTAATGAGTTGTACTATGAGAATCGACTGCAAATCTTGTTCTCAAACTGTACTCTATATGTTGTGTATATGTGTGGGTGCAAACTGTTGAAATCTGTGCTTAACATGGAGTTGGTTCTCTGTATATAAAATCAAACTAAAAATGAACCATAATGAAGAAGGGGATGGGAGAGGGAGAGGGAGAGGGAGAGGCAGAGGGAGAGGGAGAGGGAGGTGGGATGGGAGTCGTGGTGGGTGGGTGAGTCTGGAGGAAAGAACAACTATATTCCTAAAGTTGTACCTATGAAAAATGTATTCATTAAATAAAAACTTAAAAAAAAGAAGTGGAGCAGCTGGAATATGAACCAGTGCCCATATGGGATAATAGTGTTCCAGGTGATGGCTTTAACCACTACACCACAACTCCAGCCCCTGCAAAATGATTTCTAAGAGTGTTCCTATTCCCCAGATCTCTGGTTTTCCCTCAAGTGTCCCATCTTGGAAGATATATCAAAAAGTCACTTTCTGAGTTTCTCATCTTTTTATTGTCAATAATAGCTAACACTGACATTCAAGGTTTCTAAATGTTTTATACAGGGCATACAATCAAGTATTTTAGTTTTATTTCCTATAAAAATTGTGCAATCCTTTTATGATATTTTTTTATTTTTCCCTTTTACATTTCTGTGTGTGAACAGATATTTGTGTCCTGACTGTAGGCCTACAGTCTACATTGCGTATGATTTTGTGTTACATATCTAACAGTAAACATTCAATAAATATTGACATCATTTAATTTTTGTAAAGATTCATTTTATCCATTTCAAAGACAGAGTTACAGAGAAAGGTGGAGACAGAGAGAGAGGTCTTCCATCTGCTGGTTCACTCCCCAGATGGCCGCAACGGCTGGAGCTGCGCCAATCCAAAGCCAGGAGCCAGGATCTTCCTCCAGGTCTCCCACGCTGGTGCAGGGGCCCAAGGACCCAGGCCGTCCCCCACTGCCATCCCAGGCCACAGCAGAAGGCTGGATTGGAAGAGGAGCAGCCAGGACCAGAACCAGCACCCATATGGGATGCTGGCACCTCAGGCCAGGGTGTTAACCCACTGGGCCACAGCACCGGCCGCTTATTATTGATTGATTGATTGATTTTGATAGGCAGAGTGGACAGTGAGAGAAGGAGACAGAAAGGAAGGTCTTCCTTTTCCATTAGTTCACCCCGCAATGGTTGCTGCAGCCAGCGTGCTGCGCTGATCCGAAGCCAGGAGCCAGGTGCTTCCTCCTGGTCTCTCATGCAGGTGCAGGGCCCAAGGACTTGGGCCATCCTCCACTGCATTCCTGGGCCACAGCAGAGAGCTGGACTAGAAGAGCAACAGCCGGGACAGAATCCAGCACCCCAACCAGGACTAGAACCCGGGGTGCCGGCGCCACAGGTGGAGGATTAGCCTATTGAGCCACGGCACTGGCCCCCTAATCATTTAATCTCTTTCTCTGACTCTGATAATGTGTGCTTGTGGTAATTTATGCACATGGCTATCAAAGTTTATTTTCTACTACATTATAATTGTTTCTAGGCCTCATTGATATCCTTTATGTTGTCTAATCTTGACTTGTGTATGATTCGACTAACATTGCAAGACACATGTTTTTGATGTGGATGCTAAGTATTGTGGGATTCATATTCTTTCTGCTTTCCTAAGCTATTTATTTATTTTTTGCTTTTTAAGTTTGTATCAGATTCAATATAGTTCATAGATACAATTCTAAGAGTATAATATCCCCTTCCTTCCTTTCTTCATTCCTTCCTTCCTTACTTGAGCTATTAATACTGTTCCAGCACTGGTACTGCAGAAAAGGATTGTTTCATCAGGGACTCCTGTCTTCCCCAATTCTGGTTTTCTATGAAATCCTTACCTCCATTGATCCTTCCTAGAGAATTAATCTGGGATGCAGAAAACACACAGTTTCTGATTTCCTGAGGGCTCTAGCTACAGCCTCTACTCTGAACTGATAGCCTCTGGGTATGACACAGGGCTGATATTCCCCATGGCTTCACATTGCTGAACAAAACCAAAGCTGGCACTCATCATTGATAACAAACTGTTAGAGTCTGCAACTCTTCCAACAAGCTCTATTCCTTACCTTCTGTTTTGGGCTCTTTTAACCTTCTAAAATTAAAATGCAGTAAGTCCTGGAGTAGTGGCAAGGGGTGATTTGAGGAGGCCTATAGGCTGTTTTCAGACCAAGTGTAGGTGAATGTGGCCCTCAGAATGAACATCAACAATAATCTCAAAGCTGTATCCTACCTTTCTCAGAATTCTGGCCAATGGGGCCTGCATGAGGGAGGAGGGGAAGCATACTTGGAGGATTTCAGAATATTGCCCTTCCCATTATTCCCAGTTTACCCCAGGGACGCTCACTCCAGTCTGGGAACAAACACAGGTCTCCAATGTCAAAAATTTTGGTGCTCTGGGAAAATTAACAATAAACTGCCTATCAGGCTCATTGCAGGGAACTGAGCCCGCGGAGAAGTCTGATCCACAGTCCCTGACATATACAACCTTCAGGTCTCTCTAGGCTCATGGAATATCACAATACAATTAAGTACAAATCTCTGCTTTAGAGATGTCACTGCCTGTCCCCCTACCCTTCCCAATCCCAGGAAGAATGAGACTTAACTGATCTCTGAGGCTGGCTCTGAATTTTTATTTCTTAGCTTCCCCTTCAGTAACTATTCCAATGTGTTCCTCTCCATTTTTACATCTGTTCTTATCCTTCTGCATGGTTACATTTAGTCAGTGGAGTCTGGGGCATGCATGCTATATGTGCCTACTCTGAGTCACATAACAAACAGTTCAGAAATTTGTCAGAGCAGTGCCTGAGTGGGTTGGGAAAATATTGATGATTTTTAGTGAGACATACAGAACAGAGAATTTAGAGTAGGAATGGGACAGGGGAAAGATGCTGAACTATATTTCAACTTGCTGAATCAAAGGTTCTGCTAGGACGCCCAAAGAGAAGGCCAGAGAATTGTAGAAAGATTTAAGAACAGTGAAAGAAGATCTAGAGCTTTGACCATGAAAATGGCCAAGCTCTCTAAGACTTAAAGAATTACCATATTGGGGCTGAAGTTATGGTACCATGGGTTAAGCTGCTGAGATACTGGCATCCTATAGGAGCATTGGTTCAAGTCCCAGGTGCCCCACTTTCATTCTGGTTCCATTCTAATACATCTAAAAAGGCAACAGAAGATGTCCCAAGAGATCTGGATGGGGTTACTGGCTTCCAGCTTCAGCATGGCCCAGTCACTAGGGGAATAAATCAGCAGACTGAAGATCGATATTTCTGTCTCCCTTTCCCCTCTCCCTGTAACTCTGACCTTTAAATTTATAAAATAAATCTTTAAAAAATGGTAAAACATACTTTCAGTTTGTACTATTCTAAAAGAAGAAAGACAAGAGAGTAAAGGATGCGGTTTTAAGAAACAGAGATCTTCAGACCAAATTTTGCAGAAACTTTCTGATATACAAGGAATGAGAAAGTTTTAAGTAAGCTTACTTGGGGTAAGCTCCTGACTGCAGAAGATAGTGAAATGTTACTTCTGCAATGGGAGAAACTCTCAAGAAATTCAGAGACAAATGGAGACACAGTAATTTATAGGCAACAGAATTGAGCATTTGCAAAAGAAAAATCCTAAATAGTAGGAGAGAATGATGTTTCAGAGAAGTAGTGTCACAGATAAGGATCCTGGCACAGAAAAATGCTGAAAATCCATAGCTGAGAGAAAGAAATTGAGCATCTGTTCTAGAACTGGATCTATAGACAAAAAAATGAACTAAGTGATTTCAAGAGGTCTTTTGGAAATTCATGACTTCTTAGGGAATTCTTAAAAGTTTGGAGTTGCAATAGAAGAGACGGTGTTGGTAATGATGTTAGTGGGAGACTGGATTGTTAATTGAACACAAGATTCAAATGCAAAATCCCTCAATATTTCTCTACCTCATGGTTAAAATTTTGAAAGACTCTGATGTTAGAGGCATAAGAATAGGTGAATTCTAGTCCCTAAATCATTTCACATCATCAGTCATTCTCCAAGTAGCATTTCCTTTGCTTACCCATCCCCAAAGTTACATAACACGTAAGATCCAAGCAATTTTTTAATGAAGAACAGGCTTGGACAGTGACATAGGGGCTGTCCAAATGTGCACATGATCCACGTAGGAGGAATTCCCAAAATAAGCTACTTCCCTTCCCTTCCCTTTCTTTTTCCTTCCTCTCTACGGGATGGTGTATTGTGAGCATCAGCTGGAAGGACCTAGACCTGTGGCACCCCTAGCAGCCTCTCAATCGCAGCATAGATGTCTCCATCCGTGGCTATCAGGGCCTGGAGATTAGCATCATGGTTAGCAAAACCCAGGGCCTTCAACTGCTCTAGTTCTTGCTGATAGAGATCTGCAGTGAGCAGGGATGAAGATAGTGAGGACTGGATTACCTGGGAATAGGAATTGGCCAGTGCATGGAGGAGCTGAAGAATGACCAAGGTGGACTGCACAGGGTCTTCTCTATGACCTTGTCTTCCAGCCACAGTTTCAAGGATGCCTATAGCACGCCGTGATCTAGCTGGGTCCCCTAGAATAGCTGGATTCCATAAGAATGGTCTCAGCCCAGGCACCTCCCTGGAGAGTATCTGTAGGCCTTGTTCTATCTGCATCAGTGCCTGCAGTGCTCGAGGGTTGGTGAGGATGGGAAGTAGTGGCATATGATGTCTCAGAGGGCTGACAACTGCTAGATGGTGTAACAGAGCTGGACTGTGCTCCAGGGTATTTAAGACTTGACACAAAAGAGAGGGTGAGAGCTTTAGCTGACTGGCGGGAGTGACTTTCTCCATCTGCTGACTGTTCTGGGTGGGAAGATCCTGGCTTGAGTTTAAGTCCTGAGCTCCAGTCCTACACCCTGAATTGGGCTGATTTGAGGCCATCTCCCTGACCTGGGCATCCACTCTTGCACTGACCTCTCTTACCAACGTCTTGGCATGTGCAGAAGCAGTGGGCATGGTTGTGTTACTGTCAGCACTGTTCTTAGTACTGGCTTCCCCTCTGCAAGATTCTGAGCCTAGACTATGGCCCTTGGAGGCAGACAATAGGGCCAGCGTGGAGAGCATGAGTTGCTGGATGTCAGAGCAGACTGGACGCATAGCATTGTCACCCCCTGGCACTGCCTTCAAGGCCTCTAGCCTCTGCCTGTCTGCTTGTAGGAATGCTTGTTGCTGGACTGGGTTCTGCAAGGTTTCCAGAGCCTTAAAAGCAGACTCACGTTTCTGTTTGGGCTTTGAGGATTCTGGAACATGGCCGGCATTGACTGGTTTCTCACTTGCCAAGCTTTGAACTAGAGGATCTTCCAAGAACTGCACCACAGACCCAGGTGCAGCCATCAGGAGTTGAGTCAATTGACCAAATAAGTCAGCTAGATCAGGCAAACTCCGGGCCAGCTGGCCCAGCATAGCTAGTGCCCCAGTACCTTCAGAGGCTGATGGCTCAGGATGATGGATGGGACCTGTGGGACCTGTGGGACCTGACAGAGTTCTAGGGCCCGTTAATCCTTTCAAATGGGTCCTCACCACCAAGTGGACTGTAGTGCCATCAAGGATGCCACGCTGGCTCAGTATATCTTGATCACGGAGTATCTTTCCAGTGAAGATGAGTGCCAGTCGATCAATGTCACAATGAAGGCGTTTGGAGATCTCCTTCTTGAAGAGGTAGACGCTGCTATTTTCTGCCAACATAAATTCCTGGCAGTCCTGTGGGGTCTTGACAAACACTCTGATGATGCGTGATGATGGCTCCCCACCAGATACCAGCTGGCTGTCCCCTGCTTCTTCCCTAGCCCGTGCCATATTTTCTTGAGAGCAGGAAGCAGGGCCACTTGAGGACACAGTGGCTCACAGACTTGTAGAAGCCTAGATGTGGCACTGAGCACACCTGGATACAGGTACCTGTAGGTGTCCAGTGATGTCCTGTCACCCACCTTCTGTGGATGCTACCTCCCAGTGTAGCCCTGAGGCCACCTGGCTCCCATAGAAGGGAGAGCTGCTCTTCTCCTGGGCCAGTCTTGGGGGACATGATGTCAGTGATGAAGTCACAGTTGAAAGGTAGCTGGAATGCGGGGAGGGTAGGGGCCCCAACCACTTGCTTGAGATTGGACTTTCTTTATGAATTTATTTTAAAAGCAATGGTGGGGGGGGGATGTCCCTGTCTAGAAACACTTCACAATAGCCTGTTCCATTGTTGAAAATCCTACAGTTTAAATTTGATAAACAAACATGGATGCTTGAAAAAGGCTCAAGTCTAATACATAGCTAAAGAAGTATAGATTCTGGCCAGCACTGTGGCACAATGGGTTAAAGCCCTGGCCTGAAGCACCGGCATCCCATATAGGCTCCAGTTCTAGTCCTGGCTGCTCCTCTTCCGATCCAGCTCTCTGGTATGGCCTGGGATAGCAGTGAAAGACGGCCCAAGTCCTTGGGCCCCTGTACCCATGTGGGAGACCCAGAAGAAGCTCCTAGCTCCTGGCTTCAGATCCATGCAGCTCCGGCCATTGTGGCCATCTGGGGAGTGACCTAGCAGATGGAAGACCTCTCTCTCTGTCTCTACCTCTTCCTGTAACTTTCAAATAAATAAAATAGATTTTTTTAAGAAAAGTACAGTTTCTTGTCACCTGTCCTCTGCTAAATTACTGCACACTGACTAGAGCCCACCCAAGGTCTCCAAGTTCCTTTTTGTGTACAGAAAGAATGAAGATTATATATAATTAGTCCAGCCAGTCTCACTGGGGTATACAGGCAGCATGCACTTTGGATGCCTTCCAGGCTGAGTAATTCACACACTTGGTTCTAAAAAAGACATCATCTATTCCTTAAATAGAATGTTTCTTTGGGGGAAAAAATACACCATCATGTATCCCCAAGAACCTATAAACAAAGTGAATATGACGGAAACTCTGACAATCAGAACTGAGACAAGATAAAGAAGTATTAGAGTCTAGCACTGTGTGACTTAACAGTAATTGATGTAAGATATCAGCATATTTGAAGATAAATGTTAAGCTGTATTTCAGCTGTAAAATCAAGTAATAGTGAGTTCCTAAGGCACTGTTTCAGCCACTACAGGCAGATGGGAGCCTAGGGTAAAGACTAACCCTACAGCAATTTCTTTTCGCTGAAAAGATGAATGCATCAGGCTATCACAGGTTTATATCATCAACTGTTGCCATTATATACTTGAATCTTCTTTCTGATTCTAGAATTTTTTGCAGTCCAAAGGACCAACATGCCTGAAATAGAGCAGATATTATTTAATTACTGAGTATTGTTTCAATACAAAAGTCACTGGCAATATTCATTGCATCCTGTGGTCAGGTCGGCATTGGAAAACAGATTACAGATAAGTCCATCAAAGATGAGCAAATGTCTAGGAAGATACAGTTGGTAGAGGCAACTCCACACTTGATCTTAGCCAAAAGGCTGAGAAGCGATAGAGTCAACTCCATATGGACTTGTGGAGGAAGTACAGTATCCAGAAATCTGTGTCAGAAGTAATGTCAGCAAGATGATACGAGTTTCCAGTCCTTCGTCCCCACTTCCTCCACAAAGAAACACAAACTTTGGCAGCTACTCAAGGAGAATAATGCCTTTGTGGGAGCTTTGGAAAACAGAGGAGCAAAAAACCTAGGAGTGGGTACAGTGAAGAAAGAAAGAATAGCAGTACCACTTTACTTGTGTCACCCCTTCCCCAGGACAACACAGCTTTGTTCTGAAAGATCCCATCCTCGGATCATGACTTCTCCCACAAGGGAGAGAATAAGAGCAAAGTGAGGGCTCAGTTTCTCTGGCTTAGCAGGACCCTCCCCAGAAGCATACTCCTGTCTTGCCCAACCCAGAACCTGAAGGGTGACTGAATAGCGAGAGAATGGAAGGAGAGAAAGAAGAGGTGGGGGTTTCAGGTCTTAGCCTTCTTAGTTAAAAGGCCACTATCTTCCTAAATGCTCAAGCCAAAAACCCTCTACCCTGTGTGAATTCCATCAGCAAGTCCTGTCCAGCAAGCCTAAAAACAAGTTCTTTGCTCTATCACTCTCTCTGTACTGTTACTATACTAGTTTAGACAATCTGTTGCCTGGCCTTCTGCAATTCCTGTACTAGTTAGTCAGCTTCTACTCTTAGGTCTACTTAGCTTCTACTCTTTCATCATAAACTGCCAACTTAACAGACAAGGAGATCAGTTTGTGTCGTTCTGGTTAAATTCCTTTTGTGTGGGGGGTTGTAATGGCCCTAATGATAAAATATTGAAAATATAGAATATATAACCTATCATGCATAGAATTTGTTTTAATTTTGGTAAGTAGATTCTTGAATACCAATGTGGTCCCTGCCCGTCCTGGTAATATTAAAAAAAAAAAAAAAAAGCAATGAGTCCTCTACTCTGAGTCCCTTTGAATGAATACACTGCTTGATTTGCAAAGAATGCACTGACAAACTCATGTGTACAATATGCATGTTTGCAAAAACTATGGAGTCTACCCAATCTTCTATGCCTTTGATTTCACATATCTCTTGCCTCTTGGCTCATTCAGTGGTAAGCCTAAATTAAAGCCTCTTGAACCAGTTCTAAACCATTATACTCACTAATGCTTATCCCAGATCCCAGTACCTTATGTAGTCTGAAGCACATGGGTAAAAAAGTTTTTAACAAGTCTTTTATTCCATTGCAAGAGAATCTAATTTTCAGTTAAATTTAACTGGCTCTGTTACCTTGACAAACAGATGACTGCAAAACCTCAACCATACAATTATTGCAAGACAGCAAAATAACCAGTGGCTGGTAAACTAACTCTGAACTCAAAGAATCGTAAATATCTGCTGGGAATTCCATGCTTTGGGCTTTCCCGAATATGGACAAATTGTAGCAGGGCATGTCCTTTGCAGAAATATGTGATACAGATGCATGGAGGACCTAAAACCACACTAGCTTCTATGGAGCTTGAGGATCCTCTTAACACACAGTGTCTCTCTGACTTCCTGATGAGGACTTTGTCTCCTTCCACCCAGAGTTGTCACTGGGGAGAAAACTCCAGGATGACTATACCATAAGCATCACCTGCTGTAGAACTTCTGCTGAATGAAAAATACCTGATTCTGTCCTGCTGCTTAGCTATGCTCTCCTTGTATCAGATGAGGACATTCCAGCCAATGATGGCTTATGATAGTCTCATAGGTTTATTTCACTGAATTAGATCCCCTGGTGGGAATAGTAAAGGCTATCTCCTTACCACTTTCAGAATGAAATCTAAATTCCTTGACAAATAAAAACCTTCCATAATTGGATTCCTGCCTGGCCCTTTACTTCCTAATGGTGGTTTTCTACCTGCCTACAAAGCTTGGCCGTTCACAGCCTGTCTTCTACTCCTAGAGCACATTAAGTGCCCAACATATTCTTTAAAGCCACTGCAGTAACTTCTCCCTAAGCCTTTAATGTTTTTGCACCTAATCTTCACAAAATTGTCCCTTTTTATCATTTGGATCACCAAGGTCTTCTCAGCCATTCACTACTTTAATTTTATGGGTAAAACACATCATCGAGTGATATTTTCTTCTTTGTTTACTAATTTTATTTTATATATCTCTTGTCTAGAATACAAACCCCCATGAAAACAGGGACCTCATCTTTGCTACTGTAACTCCATTGCCTAGTAGGTACTAAATGAATATTTACATATGTAAATTAGAATAATGGAGGCTGTACAACCACTTATGGAAGATGCATCCATTTGATTACATAAGAATCAACAAAATAAATCTATCTGGAGGTAGGCATTTAGCCTAGTGGTTGAGGCATCCATTAAGACTCCCACGTACCACATTGGAGTATCTGGGGCTGATCCTTGGCTCCTGCTCCTGACTCCAACTTTCTGATTATGTGGACCCTGGGAGGCAGAAGTGATGGCTCAACTTACTCAGTTCTTGCTATCCATGTGGGAGACCTATTTTGACTTCCTCGCTCCCGGGTTTGACAGTTTTGATAAATTGGGAAGTGAAACAGCACATAGGGACTTTCTCTGTCTCTCTATCTCTCAAATACTGTAACTGGTGGCAGCACAATTTCATCACCGCAATATCCATTCAGAAAATATAACAATCAAAATAACAACCAAACAATTGTAATGCTTAAGCAAACTCACATACATAGGGCTCATGCAAAACTACAATTCTTTTTTTTATTATTTTTTATTTTGTGACAGGCAGAGTGGACAGTGAGAGAGAGAGAGAGAGAGAAAGGTCTTCCTTTACTGTTGGTTCACCCTCCAATGGCCGCTGCGGCTGGCGCGCTGCAGCCGGCGCACCACACTGATCCGAAGCCAGGAGCCAGGTGTTTCTCCTGGTCTCCCATGGGGTGCAGGGCCCAAGCACTTGGGCCATCCTCCACTGCACTCCTAGGCCATAGCAGAGAGCTGGCCTGGAAGAGGGGCAACCGGGACAGAATCCAGCACCCCGACCAGGACTAGAACCCGGTGTGCGGGTGCCACAGGCGGAGGATTAGCCTATTGAGCTGTGGCACCAGCCAAAACTACAATTCTTTCTAGAGAAAAATAAATGAATCTTGAATAACTGACAACATTACCTATGATAAAAGGGAAAACTACCATAAAGTTCCCAGTTCACCTCTAATTTTTAAGTGTAATGGAAAGCCAATCAAAACCTTGTTTGAACTTTCTGAAATTTGACATCTTCTATAAAGTACATTTGGAAATTTTAAAAGACACATTTAACCAAGGTATTTTGCAAAGAAATAATGAATAAAGCATTGTACTTTTTGTCACTAGATATTTACAAGTTAAAATAATTGAATAAATGTAGTACTAGGAGATAAAACTTTAATTTTTTTTATTTTTATATTTGACAGGCAGAGTGGACAGTGAGAGAGAGAGAGACAGAGAGAAAGGTTTTCCTTTTGCCATTGGTTCACCCTCCAATGGCCGCCGTGGCCGGCGTGCTGTGGCTGGCGCATTGCGCTGATCCAATGGCAGGAGCCAGGTACTTCTCCTGGTCTCCCATGCAGGTGCAGAGCC